ATAAATATGTTGTAAGAGGCATTTATTTAATTTAAATATTAAAGAGTCAATCAAATCAAATATCGGGTTGTGTTACTGTTGTCAGATAACGTTTTTTAGTTGTTTTTTTTCACAGGTGTAATACGTATTAAATATGCGAAATGCTAATGCGCATTTTAAATTAAAGAAACTGAGACGGAATTATCAGCAAAAAAATATCCGTGTAGACTGATATTTTTATCTTTTCAAAAACCCATTAGAGATTAGAGCAGGATTTCTCTCTAGAAGACTTAGACATGAAGTGCCTCTTACAGGATGAGTTATATCCCCTGGTTTGAATCCTACTTAAAAAATCAAATAAGATGTTTTCAATCACATGAAACACAATCGCATTATTTTCCTTGTATACAAATTTCGAGATAAATAACACGCAGAGTTTTAAAACGTCTACCGATAAGGGATACTTGGAAGTCAAAATACACCAATCTTTGTTTTAATATAATGTTACATTTCATTTTTAAAATTTCCTTCTACTTCATTCTTAAATTTAGTTGAGGAAGGGATTTCCCTCCAACACAATTAAGTATACATGTCAACAGGTTGACTCCAATTTCAGCCTGCTTTACTTTTTTGGATTTGCTTCCATAGCCTTTGTCCAACCAAGAACAAACTGCAAGGCAGCAGTTGTTTGATTTTGGAGTTGTCTTTCCTAGAAGAGTTGCTGTCCCCAGCTGTCGAGGGTTTGAACTAGGGACTTTTAAGTTTAGCAATCATAAGCTTTGCAGACTCGACCACGCCGACCACCGTTTTTTTAATTGAATTTAAACTAAAATTCAAGAGCTCCGTGCCATACGTTGTATATGGTTTATTGAGTTCGATAAATACGCATTTCTAAAGGGTACAACACACCCTAGTGACGCCACTACAAATGTAGAACTATGCACGTCTAATCAAACTACATTCACTGCTGATACAACTCAACTCTGAACTCAGCCTATTGGAATGCTACGCCGTCAACAAAGGCGTGCACTATCAAACAGGATGCATGAAAAAAAAAAAACTCCACTCCACCCACGTAAACTAGAAAATTGGATTCCGCACTCTACACTGAAAAATAAACCGTCTTCTCCAACAGCCGTTTCAAAACGTACGGATATCACACCAGAGTAAATCAAGATTTTTTTTTTTGGGCTGAAGCAAATAAACAAGAGGAAAATGGTATAGAGGAAGCGTCTTTTCGAGCGTGTTGACGGTATAAATAAACGAACCCGTGGCGGTATGTACTAATTGGAACAAAACAGAGGTTTCATGCCAGAGAAGGACTGGAGGTTTTGTTGGAGTAAGGAGGTCGGGGATTTCGAAACAGTTGCGTTTTTTGCTTGTTGAATGGGGGTCGGCGTGGTCGAGTCGGTAAAGCTCATTGTTGCTAAACCGAAAAGTCTCGAGTTCGAACCCTCGGGCAGAGGAGGCCAGTTAGCTCGGGACAGTCACTCTTCTAGGAGAGACAACTCCAAAATCAAAACAACTGCTGCCTTGTAGTTTGTTCTTGGTTGGACAAAGGTTATGGAAGCAAATCCAAAAAGAAAAGCAGGCTGAAATCGGAGTCAATGGCCTCAATGGCGAATAACCAGTTGACACGTATCCTCAATTGTGTTGGAGGGTGATCCCTTCCAATACTAAAATTAAGAACGAAGAAGAAGAAGAAGAAGAGCTTGTTGAATTGAATACAGGAAAACCATGAATGGTGTATTAATATGAAAGCCATTATAAACGTGTTACCTCGACAGACATTAGTTTTCTAACGAGTCTTAGCACACGAATCTCCAGACTCCGGGCTTTTGGAGATAGCAATTGTGCGGTCTTATGCTCGATCACGCCGTTCCCACGCGTGAGTCCCCGTCCCTTCTGTGGGGACGTTGTGGTCGAATGGTGGAGCATACGACTGCTAACTTGAGAGTAAAGTTAGCCCAAACTGAAATTCTCAAGGCAGCAGTTGTTTTATTTTGGAGTTGTCTCTCCTAGTAGAGTTGCTGTCGCCAGCTATCGAGGCTCATCTGTCCGGGGGTTCGAACTCTATACTTCTCCGTTTAGCAATCATGACCCTTACCGGTTATCGAAAAGTATCACAAAGAACTGACGTTACTTTGCTTATCAGAAAATCTTTCTTTATATAATATCGCCACATAAAAAGGTGAACTGTACGTCATCTACTAAGTAATCCTTTTTGGAGAGACAAGTCCAAGGCAGAGATGCATGGAAAGCTCTTGTCAGCGGCCTATGTCCCAGGAAAGGCAACGACCTAACCTAACGTAATTCAAAGGCATGCTTGCTTGTCGGGTTTAGATTATTTAATTGATGATTATGTCAGGGGCGTAGCGAGGGGGGGGGGGGCGGGGGGTGCGAACCGCACCGGGTGACACCATTTAGGGGGGTGACACCAAGGCAAAAAATAGCAAAATATATAGAGAAAAACTTGAGGGGGGATGCAAATCGAAAGTTTGAGGGGGGTGCAAATAAAAAATTTGAAAGTTTGTCCACGGGAAGGGTCGCTACGCCTCTGGGGGGGGGGGGGGGGTGACACCATTAAGTGCCGCACCGGGTGACACCCGACCTCGCTACGCCACTGGGTTATGTCACGTTTTGTTTTCAAACTTGTCGAACGATAAAGATGTTGTTATTCTTGTTAGCTGCTGTCAAAACTCTTGACGATAATTTTGACACTAATCTCTTAATAAATCCAACATGCCCAAACTGCATGTTAGGTTAATTTTAAAACTATTCCGATACATTTTAATTATCTTGTTTGTCAATTACTTGCAAGCAGGTTCGACGCAGGTGCCATGTCATTACTAAATGCCAGTAGTGTTTCTTTCAGTCTTTTTTCTCCGGGGGGGGGGGGCACTGAAATTTTCGGGAGGAGGGGGGGGCGGACTAAAATTTCCTGTGGAACGGACACTGTTAAAAGTATATATTTTCTATATAAATTCCATTTGGTTCGGGGGAGGGGGGGGGCGGTAGACTTTCTTCGGGGGGTCGGAGCCCCCCCCCCCCCCCCCCCCCCCCCGAAGAGATGTCCGGAAGAAACTCTGAATGCAAGCTAAATTCAGCCCCTACTACGACCAGTTCTTTCTAAATAACTAGGAGTTGATTATCTTATATTTGTTTTTGTGCAAAATCGTCATTGTTTCAAATCTGATCTGTACTTTTGCAAGTAAATGGAAACCATGACAAAAGAAAACGTTTTTTTTTTTCATTCTGTGAACTGTAATAAAATATAGAGACATTGTATGCAGGAGAGAGAGATAGTAAAATGAAGAAATAAAAAAAAATAAGACACCAATAAAGAAAAACGAAATGAACAAAAGGGTAAAGAGCTAAAGAAATAGTTTACTTTATCACCCCTATAGACCATAATTCAATTACATTAGTAAGTTCACTTACACAATTCATACATACATTTCTTGTGTTCAAATCATAAGAGATGCATCTATATTAATCTATACGGAAATACTACATTCAACAAGTAACTTTGATATGATATACATCGTAACTGGGATTCGAATTTTGATGGAATCATACATTGAACTTGTAGTAGTAATGTTAGATATGATATACATCCTAGACAAAAACAGAAAATAGATGGAATGCTACATTCAACAAATAAACTTAAATATGACATATATCCTAACTGGGATTAGGGATCAGATGTAACCAAATGATACATTACATTAGTAGACGTGGTGTTAGGATATAGATCCTAGCCGAAATTAGAAATCAGATAAAATCTTACATTCTACTAGTTAAATTAGATATGATATGAATCCTAGACTAAATATAGAAATCTGAAGGAATCTTACATTCAGCAAGCAACCTTAGATCTGACATACATCCTAACCAGAATAACAAAGCTGATGGAATCTTACAACTTACATTCAGCAAGTAACCTTAGAAATACATCCTAGCCAGAATTACAAATCTGATGGATTCTAGCATGGAACAAGGAAAGAGAAACAGGAAAAGAAAACAGAAAAAGGGGAAATGCCAACTGTCATCTCCCATACCGAGATAGTTTGGGCTAAAGTTTCCCGTGCGTTAGGCTTTGGTCTGTGTTTCAAGCACAGATTAACACGGGCGATAACAAGGTGAAAAACAAAACCAGATTAGAAGCGGGTCAGGGTGAGTACCCCGGGGTACGGTCAGGCGGGGGAAAAGGTGAGTGCAAAAGGTGGATTCGAGTCTGCTGGGTATAAATATTTATAAGCAACAAGTGTATGGGGTGTCCGGTGTAAAAATATACACATAAAGACAAGGGGAATAACTTTCGACTGACATATACTTATATATATATATATATATATATATATATATATATATATATATATATATATATATATATATTCACACGCTTATGAAATTAATTAGTAATTATGGCTTTAAAAGTTAATTACGTGACAAGCAACATTGGAATAAAGAATGACTGATATTTACATTCAGTTTATTTAAATTTTAAAAAATCACTATTTTTTAAAACATTTTGTTTTCTGTTCATTTTATTTCGCAGTAGTTCATATCCGCATTTTTAAAGAAACTGTGGATTATTTTAAATCGTGCTATCTCACCTGTGCAGTAATTAGTATTTCTTACTTTAATCATTGTTTGCAGTTGATTACAATGCCCCATTGCATTTGAGGAAGTGATTTTTTTTTATGTAGCACTTAATTTTCTTAATTAATTCAACATCATAGCTAATAATTGTTTCCAATTATCGTTGGGTTTAATTTTTAAAGAATTTGCTACATACAAACACACATGCGATATATCAGAAACGCAAAAGGTCATTTAACATACCCACAAACAGACAAACAAACAGACATACATTACCCATACAGAACGATACAATAAAACGCACTGTCATACATAAATACAAAAACATACACGCAAGCTTGCAAACCGCCATAGATAATAAAACACAAAACGCACATACAAACATGCGTACAGATTTGCGTACAACCTATTCCTACCTTGTTAGAGTCTCCGAACCGTTGATACAAACACACTTGAAAAAAGAATTGGTTTCAAAGCGCCTGACAATTGATCTTAAATCGTCACTCTGTTGATCAATCAATTCTGCCTATAAACTGTACAGTTTGTAGAAAATACGATAAATTATACTTTATTTGAAAAACTGTAAAAGATAATCAAGCTTAACGTTGAAGAATCTCTGAGAGCGGGTTGCTTCCCCTGGTGCTCTAGTTGACTGACGTTCAGGTAATGTCAAGCTCGCTGAGTGGAGCGAATTTAAAGGTACAGGGGCAGGCGCGTGCTAACTGAGGCACCTGCACGTGCACGAAAGCGCCGCTCACCCCCGTCGTCGAGACACACGTCATCATTGTTTAAAAATAAAATTGACGAATGCAATCGAATGCACGGCGTGTGTAATTGGTACTTTCGATTCTATTACTTTTCTGTAGGTAATCGGGTATTATATTTTATTTATGTTAAGAGTAAGGTTAAGGTGCTAAAGCATGAGATAGGGCTGAAGATATGGGTATGGTATATGGTTATGCAGTGGCGTAGCCAGGAATTGGTCATGGGAGGGGTTATAACCCACCCCCTAACCCCACCCCCCTTACCTACGCCACTGTGGCTATGTCTACTGTAAGAGGTTATCGTCAGGCTAGGTTAAGGACCAAAATAAGGCTTGCGATACTGTTAAAGATGTAATCGATACGCCCTGTGGGAAGAAGTGCGAATTCTTTTATGTACTGAATAGGAGCATCAAATAATAGAGTAATCAGATGTGCTCTTAAGAATTAAGGTACACAACCAAAAAAGAAAATGTATTACTGATGATATATAGCAAATTATAATGCAATGCATTATTTTTTAGACTCGCATTTTTTTATATGCAAATATAAAGTTTCCCTTACTGGACATTACTGGTGATAGTTATGTATTATTATTAATGACGAGAAAAATGGCCCGTTGAGGAAGGATACAACGGGCGCTAGGCTGATAGTGCTGTCTCTTTTCTCTAAACTAAAACCACCCCATCCCACCCCCCCCCCCCCACACACACCCCTTCACCCCCACCCCCCCCCCCACCCCCACCCCCCAAAAAAACATGTCTACCGTCCCATTCAACGAAATATAATTATATACTTTTTCCAGTGTCCGCCCAATCCCCGAAAATTCTACCCCCGCCCCCGAAAATTTCAAGTACCCCCACCCCTCTCCGGGGAGGAAAAAGTCTGAAAGAAACACTGGTGTCGCGCTTAGCCACTACCCGAAGAATTGCATTAAAGAAATTGCAAGAAAACCACTTTTTAGATTAGACACATTAATTAGGCGGTAATTTTATTATAGAGTATCGATGAAGAAATTTCTTTTGAGTTAGGGAGGGGGGGGGGGCTCAGACGTTCTTACGCGGGGGTGGTGCTTCGCCCCTACCCGAAGAATTGTATGAAAGAAACTCTTCACGCAAACCACTTAGATTAGACAAAATTTCCTTTTTATTCAATGTTTACTCGAGAATCAATGACGTCATTTACTGTGTGCACTCTCCGGCTTGAGATTATTTTCTACTCTACCCGAAGAATTGTGTGCAAGAAACTCTTCACAGCAAACCATTTAGATTAGACAAAATTGCCTTTTTATTCAATGTTTACTCGAGAATCAATGACGTCATATTACTGTGTGCACTCTCCGGCTTGAGATTATTTTCTACTCTATGCTAAATGTGACCGCGTCATACTTCGTTTTTCGAATTACTATGCATGTTTTTAATTTCCTTGTGTTTTCTCTAGAGCGTTCTTGTCAGATACATAGATAGATAGATACACTGATAGATAGATACACGGACAGCGAAACTATTAGTATTAATTGTATATCATTATAATAATATGAAAAGCGTTTATTTTGTATTAGCATTATATCACAACAAAATTATGATACAATTTTTTGGAAGTATAGCATGCTACTAAAAAGACTAAAATGTGATTTATCAAATTACTGGGTTATTACATTTCGTGATATAACATTTATATAACACCAGTGGCGTAGCGAGGTCGGGCACTTAATGGTGTCACCCTCCAGAGGCGTAGCGACCCTTCCCGGCGCCCGGGGACAAACTTCCAATTTTCGATTTGCACCCCCCTCAAACGTTCGATTTGCACCCCTCCACCCTGGTCGGGATTTGTCAAATTTGCTCTTAAAAGACTTTTTAACACTTGAATTAATCACTTAATTAAGTGGAATTATCATTTTTCTCTATATATTTTCCTATTTTTGCCTTGGTGTCATCCCTCTAAATGGTGTCACCCGGTGCGGTCCGCACCCCCTGCCCCCGCCCCTCCCCCTCGCTACGCCACTGTATAACACATGTAGTGTATCGGTGACAGACTAATTATCCAACGAGTGGTGATTCTGTGTGGTATTTTTTTCTATCTTTGCTGATAAAAATATATTTTTTTGTTTAAAAGTAAATTATAGTATTTCTTAAATATTAAATTTGGTAAAATATCTATTGCAAATGTCTTTATCTGGAAATCTAAGCCTAAAATCGTATGTAGCAAAAGTGGGGTCTCAGGGTGGGGATGGTAAAGACGTCAAGCTACTACTGGGAGGGCCACACATGTTATTAATTGTGTATATGGGATATGGGGCAGTTGATTTCCTTAAGTCTACGTACCATACGTGTAAGAAATAGGGCCTAGTTGGGTAAATAATGCCTATATACTCCACGTTCCAACTTTTATTAAAAATGATGACTCGGGTTGACTATTGTTAAAAGTATGGTTATTTTTTTTAGAAAATTTTAGAAGTAGGCCTACCTAACGGTATTATGTGTGTTTGTAAGTGGTGACTGAAATTGTGTAAAACAGCAGGTTCCTATCACCCCCCCCCCCCCCCAACCTTCAGAAAGAAATACACAAATATATAATTTATATAGAAAATGTACTTTAACCAGTGTCCGCCCCTCGCTCTGGAAATTGTAAGTGACCCCCCCCCCCCTACCACCCGGAGAAGCGTAAAGAAATTATAGGAACTGTGATTATAGTTACCATATTCAAAGGTGCAATTGACGCAGCAAACTATTAGGTCGAATTTGCATTTCAAATGGTTTTATTATCATTAAGGTATAAAACTGTGTGGCAGTTTCATTATATAACTAAAATAAAAGTTATTTGTTTTCGATTGTTGCGATGAGTCAACATTTTCTCAATTTTATTGGGCATGCCGAAACTAAATTAGCTTCATTCAACACAATTAATTTGCTACGTGTGTGTATGTGTGTCACTGTGTTTAGGAATGTTTGTCTAGCTCAGAATTTCTTATTTTAATGAGAAGAATGCTAATAATTAGTTTACAAAATAAACATAGTTGAAAAACACAAATAGATAGTCTTGCTAAGAAATATCATTAGTTTCAACTAGGGGGAATAACAAAATATACTCTAATTTGAAAACGTATCCTCCTTTACCTCCCCTGTTTATTTTAAGTAACCGTTTTCGGTGACCAGAAAGAAGCGCAACGGAAAAAAAGCGCAAAAAAAAAAGTCCAAACAGAATAAAACGCAAACAGAAAAAAGCGCAACCAGAAAAAGCGCACTAAGAAAAAAAACGCACACAGAAAAAACGCAAACAGAAAAATGCGCACACAGAGAAAAGCGCTAAGATAATTTTTTCGCAAAAAAACCTATATTGACTAAATTACACATTTATACATGATTGTTAGGGCTGCTGCGAGAGGGTCGTGTTTGACCTGACGCGATCTACTACCATTTAAAGAATACCACTACCACGAGCATTCACATCACAACGATACAGGCGATAATCGCTTGACACAATGCCTATTATTTTCTTGTTCAATATTTATTCAACTTCCTACCTACCTGTGGCGATATGTGAAGGGGGAGAGTTATGGAGGTAAAAATCTTCAAAACAAAAACGTAACGTTTTTTATTATTGGTGACTCCGTATTAAAAAAAATCACTACCGGGAATTTATGCTAGTTTACTGATCTTATAATAGGCATACATGCATATGCTTGCACAAAGGGTCTACTAATACAGCGTATATATAGGCATATAAGTATTATATATATATTATATATATATATATATATATATATATATATATATATATATATATATATATATATATATATATATATAATTATTATTTATATTATATTATATAGCTCAAGGAAAAGTAAAGGGACACTACTCTTATTTACATTGAAGTAAAAACACTGTGACCAAATTGGCATAATTTAAAATGTTTAATAAATATTTGCAGAAGAAAACACAATTTTTTTTAAAAATCACATAGTTGAAAGAAAAAAGAAACCAAATACTTGAATTAGATTTTCCAACTATCATTAAATAACCATATGGAAATAAATAGGTCTGAATACTGTTGGCTTTTACATTGTTTTGTTTTAAACTATGATTGAAGCAGATAACTTTTATAACAATCATTAGGCCCTATATAGTTATCCAATATAGGTTAATTCTTAGCTCTTGATTATATAAAGCATAACTAGTAATAATAATAATAATAATAATAATAATAATAATAATAATAATAATAATAATAATAATAATAATAGGTAATAATAATAATAATATGTTCAATATGGTTTAATCAAATTAAGTATTAATTTAATTTTACCTTTCTGGCATCTCTCTGATCTGGCAATTCCTTCAACCTTTTTGTAAACATTCATCCCATGTAAAATACAACACGAAGAATCAAGGTTAGCACCGATTTGCATCTTTGAAACTATTTTGAAGCGTATGGCTGATCAAATTCAGTCTGTCATCTCATCAGTGGGAAAGTGGGTACCTTCTTTTTTCCCCCGGAAAGAAATTGAGAAAGTTATAGTACGAGAGGTGCAAATGATCGGCATCCCTCCAACAGCACGGATATTTTTCCGTGTTGCCGGTATTTCTGGTGCCATAGCCGTAGCTCTTGGTGCTTATGGCTCTCACGGTAAGTTGCGCATTAACAATTAATTACACCTTGTAAGCCATCTAACCAAAATTAAATAATAATAATAGGCCCTATAGACTATAGGGTAAAACTCCATTTTAGCGTATTTTATTTCTCCGCTGCTTGTTTACCTCCAGTTGGGCGTATTTTATTATAACAACCGAAACACACCAAAACATTAGGAAAAATGATTCATTTATTTGTATTGTATTTGTGTTTTAACAAATTAATAAAAATGAATAAAAAAACAAAGAGACTGACTTTGTTTTAGATTTTGATCATTTAGTTTTGTTAAAACTTGAGAAAAATCCAAATTTAGAATATTGAATGTGCAATGTTCGTGTGTCAGAATTTTCGTGGCAATGGGTGAAGTACGTAAACTTAACTCGCAATTGCAAGTCGGTTAAGTTTGTATTGTTACAAGTATCTCCCAGGCATGATACTATAAATAAACATTAATGAACTTACAATGACCACAAAACTGAGGCCAACACAATTTCAAATAGCAATTGCCCGAACTATGACGTATGCTGATAATTCAATGTCAATGTGAACTCACGGTGAACCCGCGACCGTGTAAGGATTTTTCTCCCACTGACGATTACACGAGATTCGATATTTAATTGGAACAGTTCTAATGCTTTTTATGTTGTTTTTTTTTACCTTTTCTAATTAAAAATCACATTCATTAAAAAAAATAAGTAGATCTAGTGTTTTCCTGACGTTTTTGTGTGTTTCGGTTGTGTTTATAATAAAATACGCTCAACTGGAGGTGAACGTGAAGCGGGGAATAAAATACGCTAAAATGGAGTTTTACCGACTATAGCTTATTTACGTAGCATGCTTACTTTGATTTTTAACTAGAGTGAAGTTCCACGCATGGTTAAAACAGGTACGGTCATCGCCAGTTTATCGCTTCGTATAATATTTGTTTGTATGTTTTATACAAAACTACCGATATCTGCTGTGCACATGTCCATTTCTAAATATATCCAGGTCAAATTCTTTTGTTTTCTTCTTCTGGAAGACGAGTTTTTTTAATTTTTAAGTTTCGAGGTATGACATAGTAGGCGATTCTAGTTCCCCCGATGAAAAGCACTATGTCCCAGATAAGACGAATAAAACCAACCAATCAAAGCTTTTATAACTAGGTTAACTATAAATAGTTTCTACAATATGTGCGGGAAACTGTACATACGATAGATAAGGACTATTTTTTTTGTAGCATGAATTCCCAAAGCCTCTATTGACTCTATTGAGAGGTGAATTTGGGTAGTTTCACCTCGCTGCGTAATCAACGGATCTAGAATCTATATAATTTATAATTTTTCTGTTGTTTTAAATTATTTCGATAATCTACTTCTTCTAAATCTAGTTTGTGTCTCTGCATACAAGCATATTTAAGCAGATGTTACGTTATGTCTTGTTAGTGATTGTTACGTCCCTTTGTTATGATTATTATAGTTGCGTCCCTTGAGCAGAGGCGTAGCGAGGGAGGGCGGGGGGGGGCATATGTCCCCGGGCGCCGACCTTAGTGGGGGTGCAAATGAAAAGTTCGAGGGGGGGGGGTGTAAATCGAAAATTTGCTCCCGAGGGGGGCGCCAAATTGAAAGTATGTCCCCGGGCGCCGGGAAATGTCGCTACGCCTCTGCCCTTGAGTCATCACTGTGTCATCCATAATGTGTAGCTAATAAATTTAATTAAAGTGTTTCTTATTTGGTTTTGCAATCTATTAATTAATAATACAATCAACAACACGTTTAAAAGTGTAAAATATTTATTTTAGTTATTAAAATTGGATTAAAACGTATAAAATATGATCGTTACGCAAGCCGGTTCAGGTGGCTGCAGGAAAAAAAAAGAGAGGGGGAAATATCGCAAATTGCACGTCACTAAAACTTGAATTTCTCAAATTCTATGCGTAGGAATATAAAATGATTGATACAGATTAGAGTAGAATGGCAGAGGAGTAATATAGTACTTTCGGTTTGTTTCTGTTTGAAACGGTTACAAAATAGAACCCGATGAAAGTCAGAAGTTCAGAATTTTCCGCTATGTGTGATCGGCTGTGGAACTTTACACTATGACTTATTTTAATTTTATTTACCTTTATTTAGGCCCTTAAGTTTAATTTCAATAATACCATTTCTTGAAATCTAATTATCAAAATTAATTAGTACCCTAGAAAATGATTTGTGAAGAAATGTGTTTGTTTTTAAATGGCTAAGATGCTATGACTGATTTGTGGGTTAGTTTTTTGAGGTGTGTTGTTATGCAATGATTGACCATTCAGCAGAAATGTGTCATCTGCTAGTTTTCTTTCTATTTAAATACATGGCAGGCTAAGTTGGCTGTTGTCTAGATTAAGTTATTTTTTTTGAAGATTTTTTTTTTACCTTGCATAGTTTTTTTAAACTAATGATATTAGTTTAGTTGGACATAACATATCATTTTCTATTAGTTGAAAAAAGTTTGAGTGCTTTTACAATAATAATATTAACTACAGTAGTACTGCTTTATATTCTCAGCAATAAGGCAAAAAAAATGTACAAATAGCAAGTTTGTATCCAACACTAATTTCCAATGTTAAAACTAGATCAGTATTGTTGAATAATACACAGAAATAATATTGTAAGTATATGTTTCTGAAATTACCATGAAATTTTGAGAGAAATGGAATCAAGGTTTCGGTGGCCATCATTAACATGACGACGGTAAAAAAGTACGTCAAGCAACGGCTAAAGAACAGTCTTCACGTGATAAATATAGTAAGGTTGCTGAGAAAAGTACAGTGCTGTTGAGTACCCACATCCTCAACACTGAGTACCCACAGCAGTGCCATTGAGCACCCACAGATTAAGCACTAAGTACCCTCAGCAGTGGCTGAGTGCCCGCAGCAATGTTATCAAGTATCCATAGCACCACACCGAGGACCCACAGCAGTGACTCCAAGAACCAACAGCAGTAACACTAAGTAACCACAGCTTCAACACTGAGTACCCACAGCAGTGACTCCAAGAACCAACAGCAGTAACACTAAGTAACCACAGCTTCAACACTGAGGACCCACAGCAGTGACTCCAAGAACCAACAGCAGTAACACTAAGTAACCACAGCTTCAACACTGAGGACCCACAGCAGTGACTCCAAGAACCAACAGCAGTAACACTAAGTAACCACAGCTTCAACACTGAGGACCCACAGCAGTGACTCCAAGAACCAACAGCAGTAACACTAAGTAACCACAGCTTCAACACTGAGGACCCACAGCAGTGACTCCAAGAACCAACAGCAGTAACACTAAGTAACCACAGCTTCAACACTGAGGACCCACAGCAGTGACTCCAAGAACCAACAGCCGTAACACTACGTAACCACAGCTTCAACTCTCAGTAAACATGGCTTCAGCACTCAGTACCCATTGCTTCAGCAATGAGTACCCACAGCATTGGTACTAAGTAGCTACAGCTCTGTCATAGGGTATCCATAGTAGTATCATTCGCGTACCACAGCAGTGGCATGTTGTTACCAAAATTAACCAGGTGAAGGATTAGTAAGAAATTTTTTTTTAAATTGTAAGTTACACCGAATTACAGTTAAAATTGAAACAGCCAAAACTTTGAAACCTTTTTTTTTTACGTCAGCGATATAAAAAGTATAATTAAGTATCTTGTCAAGATATTGAAAATCAATTTTAAATCATAAATAATAACACACTGGGGTACTTGTTATTTTACAGGATCACAGTTTTCATCTCTTAAGTGAACACAAATAATGAATAAGAACAAACTTGAAAAAAAAAATGTCTTGCAAATTATTTTATTGATGTTTCCACAGGCATGAATCATATTTAGTTCTTAAGTTGTACATCAAATCACCATTGTGACTCTAATTATTTGTTACATTTTTACTAACGTTAATCAAAATTTTAGTTTCAAATTTTTTTAAATGCATTTCATGTAATGCAATTACCAGGTTTCATGAATAACTAATTATTTGAATAGTCACCCAACCAATAAGCCTCAAATTTATATTACGGTGCACGTTTCTTCTTCATCTTCTTTGTTCTTGAATTTAGCTTTGGAAGGGATCCCCTCCAACACAATTAAGTATAGGTGTCAACTGGTTATGCGCCTTTGAGGCCATTGACTCCGATTTTAGCCTGCTTTTCTTTTTGGATTTGCTTCTATAGCCTTTGTCCAACCAAGAACAAACTGCAAAGCAGCAGTTGTTTGATTTTGGAGTTGTCTCTCCTAGAAAAGTGGCTGTTCCCAGCTAATGGGCCTCCTCTGCTGTGCATGTTTGTTTGTTTTGGTTTTATGGTGCTCATTAGTCAGCATGTTTTCTTTTAAAGAAATGTTTACTTGTTTATGATGAAGCACATATTATAAAAAGGTCTTTTGAAATGTAAATATTTAAATAATTCAAGAGAATATAATTTCATTTAGAACAAATATATAGCCTGTATGATAAAGAAGAAAGATCATAATAATCATCTCATGCAGCTAAAAATATAGAATTTTATTATTTTTATTCAGTCAATATTTTCTTCTAGTGGGTAATATATTATTCTACAAAACAAATTCCTACTTTCTTTGAATATCATAGTTTAGTTGTAATAATTTTCAATTGTAAAAATGACTATCTTTTTTTTTCTTTAGTTTTTCGTCAAAAGGAAGTTGATCAACGCTTGAAAGAAGTAAGTTCACTTTTTAAAAATTTGCTTGATAAATCTTTAAGTAGTTTTATTGATTGAAATAAAAGGAAATCTGTAAATAAATGTTGTTTTGTCATTTTAGCAGCCTACTAATCAAACAGATATATCACACTATAGAAGGGAGGTATTAAATATTTTGACACATTTTTTAAAAATTTGGTTAAAAGAAAATAATTTTTTAAATGTTGTTGTTCAGTGAACTTTATTTTAATTATTGTTTCCATTTTTTATAATTAAAAAAACCAATGTTTCTGGCTTTATAAAAATTTCAATTTAATCTTATTTATGTGAATACAATAAATTGGATTTGATTTTAAGGGGAGTGCACTGTTAAAATGCTGGAAAATTTGGATTATTTACCTTTATTGGATTTAATATTTTATAATGTGGAAAAAAATAATTTTCAAATAATAAACATATTTATTTAACATTTCTAAAGAAACAAAAGAAGTAGGAAGATAATTTTCTAATTAAAACTTTCTATTGCATTTTGTGTTAAAATATTTATCGTTTAAATTTCATAATCTGTAATTTTTGCTATTTTTTATTTTGTTGTTAACATTCTGAATTTAAACATTATATTTTATAATTATACAGCTAATGTTTTAAATTATGTATGGGTGAAATCACTTTAAATTAGCACATTGTTTGCATTGTACTGTAATCAAACTTTTGTCAATTATGTTATATGACAACTGAAACAAAGCATATTATTCAATATAATCCCCAATAATATTATTTACATTAAACCATACATTACAAAGAAAATTGATGGTATCATTTATTATTGATATACACTCTTTTTTTTCAGACTTTTGAAATCGCCAACAAGTACCACTTTATCCATACCCTTGCTCTGTTAGCAATACCATTAACCAGAAAGCCGTTACTGGTAAGTTCAAACCTCATTTTCCTGCTGTTACTCTATATCATTCATAGTTTTTGTACACATCAGTCAAAAGTCTTATTAGTTTTAAGCTGAGGTAATTTAAAGCAAACACTAATGATAGGATTAGTTTTTTGGATTTTTAAAAAAAATTATTAATAGTTATAGTTTAGTTTTTATGTAAAGCAACATGCCCTAAATGAATGTTAAATTTTTGAAATCTAAAGAAACAGAATTTAACTTAATGCTTCTTTATTTAAAAGATAAGGCCAGGCTCTGTTTTCTGTTTGTATAATTATATGTATTAAAATTATAATTATAAGTAAAAAGTTTCTGATGATAGACAAATACTACTTCTGCGCCCAGATTGTGCTATTTAAGATTAGCTTTTATAAATGTGTCAACATTCTAATCAAGGGACTGAGTGGCTTAGCAGTAGAGAGTTAGACTGCTAACCTGTAGGTCTGGAGTTCAAATCCAGGTTCAAGTGAGTAGGACGTTATTGAGTCCGCCCAGCTCAAGTTAGTAAAAGTAAAGGCGGCTGGGCATAGTGCTGACCACTCTATCCCTTCAAATGCGGAAGTCACAGAAACAGGTGAACTCTACTTCACTTACCCCATAGACCATCATGTTTGGAAGGAGAACTTGACTTTACAACATTCCAATCAACAGAGTGGATCTTTAATGACAGCCGGTCTTGTTCTCTTCTGTGGAAGCTGCTACTACCACGCCATCACAAACAACATGAGCATTAGAAAAGTGACACCTTATGGCGGTTTCCTGCTTATCTTTGCCTGGGCCTCCATGGCCCTCTGAGATTTGCTGAAGAAGGAATGTCTTTAAGCAATGTTGTGATTGGTTTGTGCAGTTATAGTTTTAATATTTTTTTGCAGTTTAGTTGCAGTATTTTTATAGATTACATTTAGAGAGAAACAGTTGTTTTAAATTTTTTGCGACAATGACAAAAAGTTTACTGTATTTAATCGTAAACAACAGAAATAATCATTGACGATTTAACTTTTTAAATCTTTTATTTAATTCCTATTGTTTTTAAATGCAGTATAGTTTTTCATTTAGTTATAGTACTTTTTAAAAATAATAAACTGGTCAAATCATTAGGGTGATGTACCAGTGTTATAGATATAATGTTTTGTAAAAAAAAGGTGAATTTTAAGTTTATTAAGAACAGTCATTTTCTTTCTCATTTGTGTACAAATATTTTTATTGGCTGGATGAATACGATGGAGTAAGTGGATTTTTTGTGTATGTTGACTTCTAAATTGTTTGTTAGCACTGTTGTGGATGTGAATGATGAAATGGTGATGTTGATGTGTCTCTGAAATTCAAATTTAGTATGACTGTTTCTGCGAGACCATTACTTCATGTCTTTGAGATAAAATTTTAGATTAAACCTTGGCAATAAAATTTGTTAAATTATGTTTTTTTTTGTTTGTTTGTTTTATCGGATTCATCTTATAATCATACCCATGGTAATCAATATTGATATTAATATTAAAATATATCCGAAATGAAGAATAGTTTTACAAGCCTCAAGTACAATGGCAGCTTAATTTATTGAAGTCTCTTAATCCTTTCTTGCAAAATCATTAAAAAAAATACTTTTAAAAATATTCCTTTACTTTTTTTAGGCCAGATTCATCCAAAATGAAGAGAAAGAAAAGGAACAAAAAAATGTGTCCACATTTTGACTTTAGTCATATAGTAATTACTAAAAATATTAATTCGCATTATCTTTTAAAGATGCTTTCCAAATGCTATTTTACTACAGATCCTGAAGGACATGTTTTGAAGACAATTTAAACAGAACACAATTTTATATTTATACTTTTTTTAATGGAAAAAAAAATATGAAGGGAAATAATTTATTTACGAATAAATGTAATGTTTGATTACCTCCCCTAGTCCAATAATTTGATTAGGGCAATTCAATATTGACATTCCTCATCAAGTCGGATTTGTATAAATGTAGAAAATATCAGCTTGAATTAATTTTTCTTGATTTTTATCTAATGTCATATTTTTATTGAATCATTTAGTACCTAATTTGCAACAAGTAAAAAAAAATAAAAAGCAAGCAAGAATTAATTCTATATGTGGCAAATTTATTTTGTTTCATAAATAAAAAGGTCTGAAACATCCAGCTGACATTGTGTATGACAGTGAATTACATCAATAGGCCTGTGTTTACATAATATGTCATGTAAATAAGCCTATTTATATATATACATACAAATATACATATGACAATAAAAATGTTAGGCCTAGTTTAAGTATGACAAGTGTATAGTTGGCCAATGTAAATATAACACTTCATACACCTGAACAGTTATGCAACAAGGTATATATATATATATATATATATATATATATATATATATATATAATTAAATTATATATAAACAGTATACACTGTTGCTCATTATGTATCACAAGTTTTATAGTCATGTTAATGTAACACAATGACAAATTCAGTTTTTAACAGCTTTGGTAAAAGAAGATTGCAACAATTTTAAAACCAGGTGAAATTAATATTTTAGGCATGAGTTTAACCTACTCCTTGTTTGACAATGCTTGATTCTAAATGTCATTTTAATTTTATTTACAACTTATAACTTGGTCATTTCAACTAGGTATTTTTTTTCTGACATCACTACTGATATGGTCTTTTTTTCACAATCCTTGGTGCAAACTAAACTAGGTCATTTTCTATTCTGGACAAATAACTGACATAGTCATTTTCTTATGGCTAAATTACTGACTTGGTCATTTTTTTCCCTTTTCACCACAGCACTGAGATAGCTAATGTTCTAGTAACATGGGCTATACCTTATACACTTTTTAAAATAATTTACTTCACATTTAAAAAAAAACTGCCTAATGCCTGAACTAATGTCCTTTTATACTTTATAAAAAAATACTATAAATAACTGTCACATAATGACAAAGATTAAAATATAATACTTTATGTTGAATGAAAATGTTAAAAAACAAATATCGGTAGGAAAACAATAAATATATAATTTTGTATGCTTATTTATATGCACAACTTAGTGTATTTCTTTTAGTGAATAAAATAATTAGTCACAAAAATACTAAAAAATTAAATTAAAAAAATTTAATCCTAAATAAGACAACACAAGCATGTGAAAGGCAATGCCTTTAATTAATTTTAGTTGAGAGTTTATGGTAAATATTGCTTTAGTTCTTTTAGTTGTCACACAATGACTGGGAAAAAGATTGGAGATATGATAAATTAAGAGCCTTGATGCAATTTCTATCCACAGACAGACAAATAACAAATAATGGATGGACTAAGCCATTGTAATGGGGGTAGAGTGCTAGATTGCTAACATAAAAGTTTGAAGTCAGTAGAACGTCCCTGAGTTCACCCAGCTCTCATGGGTACCTAACTCATGTTAAGTATTGTAAACGGGACTGGGCATAGTACTGAACACACTATTCCTTCATATGCCGATGTCACAGAAACAGGTAAACTCTACTTCACTTGCCTCCTGGAGCTCAAGTCAAAGCGGTACTTTATTTCTAACGAAAATAAAAATGTTTCTACTTCACTTTTACCTATAAGATCTATAAACAAATATTACCTTACTTTACCAAACCCAATCCAAATTTTTTCCCCCACTTTTTAGAGATGCCTAATTTATGAAGTCGACACCACTAAAAATATTTGCTTTAAAACACCATCAGTAGCTCGCGATATCCAAAAGACGATAATCTGCCCCGTGAATACAGCCGTCCGTGACCACAATTTACAGACAGCAGTAAACTGATAAAGTAAAGGATAGGTCTAAATCTTGTTACCTCCCCTTAGTTTCAAATCGTTTAAAAGCTATATTATCTGCCCCTAATAGCCTTCACTAGATCAACCGGCTCTAGGTTTGTAAACATTCTCGTAAATCACAGCTCACCAGACTGTTAGAGTGATCGAATCAAAGCTAGCTATCTCCCCTTCTGTTGTTGAATACATTTATCTGTAGAGTGATTTAATTATTTTGTTATCTCCCTTAGTTTTGAAACGGTTTAATTAATTTGTAATAGGTAATTAAACATCTAATTTAATAAAAAAAAAAGATAGACTTGAATCGTCATCGAAGTAGAATGTTTCTAGAAAGCTTGAAATCGCTGCATCAGAAGTGGGTCAAAACTGAGTTACAAGATCTGCCATAAACACTAATCAAACATACGTTGCGAAATAAATAAAAGCGCGTAAAAAAAACACCCAGAACAGGCCTACGATGTTTTAGTAGGTCTATAATGCTCTATATATAACTTCGGAGTTTTCTCAATTTGTATTTCATGACTGTCAAATCGCTTTGTCCATATGACGAGGATATGGATATTGACACGCTGAACGAGACTATATAATTTATTGAACTGTTTGATTGTGATGGTAATCAGTGAATCGATTGTATTGAGCATACACAATTTGGTGAACAGTGTTTCGCAATTTGTGATATATTTAGCCCTATTTTATCAATACGTTTGAGTAAAATATGTGGGCGAAAAGTTAAAATGTGGGTTTTTTTTGTGTTATCAGAAAATGTTTTGTGAAAATATGGTTGTGTTCATATTTTAAAAAAATTAAATTATAATTAACTCTGCACCTGATATTACAAAAGTATTTTTCCTAGCCTATATGCACTTAGGGGTCGTCCATAAATGACGTCACACTCGTAGGGAGGAGGGGGGTCCGTAATTTTGTGACGGTGTGTGATGAGGGGGGGGGGGGGTCAGATGGTGCGACGTCATACTTTTGCATTATAAAAAAGCAATGATAGAAAGCGAATTTTAGACGCTATTTCGCGCGTTAGAAAACAGTTTTAATAAATTCTAATAGGAATTGATTAAAATACTCTATTTTGACAAGTTCAGAAAAAAATATCGTTGTTTATAAAAAAATATTCAACTGCAATTTTGAGGGGGGTTGTAGGTTGAGGTGTGATGTTATTTTAGGGGGGGGTCTGGCTTTTTGTGACGACGTGTGACGGTGGGGAGGGGGGGGGGGGAGGTAAAAGTCGTCAAAAAAGCGTGACGTCATTTATGGATGACCCCTTAACACTCATGGTACTAGACCAAGAAATCTAAACCTAAAAATATTTTCATTTGAACAGATTTTTTTTTTTACCCATGGAATCTAAGACAATCTGTGACAATTTTAAAATTGAGAAAATAAACGCAAAGCTTACTACCAGAATTATTTATTTATTAAAGTTAGGATTACATTTATCCAAGGGTTTCGTGTTGTGTGAGGTAGACCAAACACAGATGCTGTTTTTTAAAACAGGAGGACTAATTGATAAATTTTCAAGGGAAGCTACTCTTTTGTCGGTTTATGTCCCTTGGCAGACTAAGCATACAAATGTAGTTTCTGATTAGTTACTATAAGGTTCACTTATTTCCACTTGACGTGTAATAATTATTTTACAATTAAAACTCATAAATGAACTACTATTGGAGCTCCTATGGCGATAGGATTATCATAATATTATCAACTGTGGTTTCCTTTCGGCAACTCCTGCGACACTGCTGATTCCAAGCTGTACAGGTAACGTCCTGCCCCTTTGGGTCCATCAGATGTACCTGATACATGGGCAACATCTGGCTCTTCTCATTTTGCTATCCCAGTCTTGAGTCTTGATTTACAAGGAACAATCAGACTATGGAACACTTTTTTTTCCCTATATAATTGATAATCACCACAATTTGTTATATATTGGTTTGATGAAATAAATGTTCGACGTAATTTTAATTTGACGGGAGTTACTGTGAACAAGGGTGACTTCCAACCTTTTTTTTTAAATTTGTATTAGTAACCCTGAATAGGCATGCTAAAGAGTAAACATCGATCTGTATTTCTTCAGATATACTGTATACTTTACCATTAACAAAATAGGAAGTTATATTCGTAATTTTGATGAATGGTACTGTAAAATCTACTAATGCAGACCTGTCGGTTGAGAGACAAAGATGCATCTGCTTAAACAAATCCATGTTTTACCAACTATAGAAAGGTGTATTGTTAAAAGCTTTGGCAGACTTATGCAATATCAAGTATAAAAAGACCTTGTTATACCAGCTATAATAAGACTGTTTTAAAAGCTATAGCAAGACTATATCAGTCTCAGCTATTGAAGGATTAAGTTAAACCAGCTATAGAAAGATTATAATCAGTACCAGCCATAGAAAGACTATGCTATACCAGCTATAGAAAGATTATAATCAGTACCAGCCATAGAAAGACTATGTTATACCAGCTATAGAAAGACTATGTTATACCTGTTTTTGAAAGACTATATCAGTAAAAGTTATAGAAAAACTGTTATATCATCTGTAAAAGCACTTTTGTACTTGCTACAGAAAGAGCTAAACAACAATTTGTATCAGCTTTAGAAAGACTATATTATCCCTGCTATAGAAATACTATATCAGTACCAGCTATAGAAAGACTGTTATACCCTCTGTAATAACACTTTTGTACCAACTATAGAAAGACTATATACTTATGGACCTGCTACAGAAAGACTATGTTAAAATGCTAAACAACAAGTTGAAACAGCTGCAGAAAGACTATTTCATCCCAGCTATAGAAAGACTATATCAGTACCAGCTATAGAAAAACTGTTATACCATCTGTAATAACACTTTTGTACCAGCTACAGAAAGACTATGTTATGAAAGCTATACAACAAGTTGTACCAGCTGTAGAAGAAGTGTTACCAGCTTCTAAAGACTGTTGTAGGGACTACAGTAATAATGTATACGTGTACCAACTATAAATTATTATATAATGTATCAGCTTCAGAAAACTATATAGTACAAGCTAGCAAAAAGCTGTCCCCCCCCCCCCCCCACCCACCTCGTCCTGCCACATGTACCACAATAACTGCATTTCATTAAGCACAAATAAATCACAGTATGTTAAATGCTTTAATCGTGATGAAACAATTCATACATATTCCAGCAGTATTCCGACAATTGAACAACAACACCTAGGTCAAATTTTAAACCAGCGTTATAGTTACATGTGCCCACTTCCATGGGAAGACCTTTAGGCCTTGATGCTGTACGGTAAAATAGACATGAGGGGAGACTAAAACAGACCTACAGAGAGAAAACATGATGCAGAGCGTGAGAGGGATCGTCCATAAATGACGTCACGCTTTTTTTGACGATTTTTACCTACCCCCTCCCTTCCGTCACACGTCGTCACAAAAAGCCAGACCCCCCCCCCCCCAAAATGACGTCACATCTCAACCTACAACTCCCCTCAAAATTGCAGTTGAATTTTTTTACAACATCGATATTTTTCCAAAATCTTGTCTAAACTATTACAATTTATTAAAACAGTTATCTAAAACGCGAAATAACGCCTAAAATTCGTTTTCTAACATTGCTTTTTTGTAATGCAAAAATGTGACGTCGTAACATCTGAACCCCCCCCCCCCCCCTCCCCCTCATCACACATCGTCACAAAATTACGGACCCCCCTCCCCCCTACGAGTGTGACGTCATTTATGGATGACCCCAGAGAGAAAATATGATGGAAGAGTAAGAGAGATAATATGATGGAGAGAGTAAGAGAGATTATATAATGGAAAGAAAAAAAAAGGAAAATATGATGGAGTAAATGAAAAAAAAATTGGATAGAAAGAATGAGAGAAATAATAATGAACATGGTATGAAAAAAAAGATGGGAAGAGCAATACAAAATACTAAAAGAATGAAAATAAATATTGGAGAAGTGAGAAATAATGATAATTGGGAAGCTGAAAGTAAATTTTGTTAACCAGAGTTTTAAAAAAAAACGTTTGATGCGTCAAAATAGCGAACAGTCACCTTTGTATTCCAAGCAGAGGAAATAGAAACAGGAGATAAAGAGCGATAGGATGTGAACAAATTATCTCCCCTTTTAACGTGTATTGTTATAAAGAGGGTCTCTAGATTGACCGCTATTTCTAACACTCGCTTCAGCAGGGTACGCTGCTAAAATAACTAAAATTTATTTAGTAACATATCACTCGATAATAAAACAGTTCAGTTTTTCGTGTTGTCGTTTTCTTCTTGAATAACATTTAACGATAGCGATGATAACATGTTTGTATAAATTCTTCATTCGCACATATAAATAATTCGTACGCTCAGGAGAACATGTTGATATTATAATGGTAATCATTATTTTTTATTATTTGATTATAATTACACGGCAAATTAATTTTATTGGAAATACACAACTGTTATAACATTACAATGATTGATATAATAGCTGTCTATCCATCTTCAAAGTTTACTAGCTGTTGGCCCGCAATTTGTCCACTTGTATTTTTAAAACAGAAAAAAATGAACCTTAAAAAGGAACCCAGAATATCCAGAGACTACTAGTGTGTAGATCTGTAAGCCAAAATCTATCATACTGACAATTTAAATCTAACGTAGATAAACATAGGAACTATTTCTATTCAATATCAGCAAGGGTATTTTACGATCTGTGACAGAAATACGGTTCGTTACACTTACATCACTAGAGACCAACAGGAAAGAGTCATCCGCCTTAATGCTGTTTCTATACAGTCAAATATATATATATATATATATATATATATATATATATATATATATATATATATATATATATATATATATATATATAATACAAAATATAGCAGGCTTACTGATGAATATAAAATGGATCTTTATTTAATAAATTCAAAAACGAAAATGTTCAGTAGATTTTCCTAACAGTTAGACTCATCAATGATGGTGGTGTTTGTTGTGTTGGACTGATGGTTGATGGTCAATGTCGCCGGACCAAAGGTGCTGCAGTTCAGCAGTCCATTCCTCAGCCCAGGCATGTTGCTGTTTCTGCGAGCCCTGTGGAGCAGACGGTACCTGCAGCACAGGAGTTTGATGAAGGTGATTCTGAAGATGTTGTTGAAGATGGTGTAGATGATAGGGTTGAGGGTGGAGGAGACGTACCCCAGCCAGACGAAAGCGGTGATGAGAGTGGATTCGAACCTGCACGATGTGCATAAAGCGGTGAGGATGTTGACGGTGAAGAAAGGCGCCCAGCATACGACGAAAATCATGAAGACAACACCCAGGACTTTGGACGCTTTTTGTTCGGTTCTTACAGAGTTGTCGCGCCGAACACTGGCGTAGTTTGACGAAGAGGGGGTGGTGATATGCGTCTGGGTTTGAGGCTGTCCCTCGCGCTTCATTAAAAGAATGTTCGCAGCCTTGACTGCGACGTGATGTTTTCGAACCAGCTCCCGTAACCGTTTTGGTTCTCGCGTTGAAGACGACGGCGATGAAGAAGACGATGAAGACGAGAGGATAGACGAGCAGCAGTTTCGAGAATCGGATGTGACGTCAGAGGATAACTCTTCCTGGATACCGTTACAGTACTGGTAATCCGGCGGGGAGTTGCGCCCCATGTAAATAGACCCAGATCTCCCGTTTTGTATCCCGTGGCGGTTCCGTCTATGGTTATTGCTGTTGGACATCCCGTTGCTGTTCTCGGTGTTGTTGCTGTTGTTATTGTTATTCCCCGTAGAGTTGTTATTACCACGCCCCCTGTGTAGGTTATTTATATTGTTATTATTCCCCACCATATTGTTATTACACCCACCGCCTCCACCGGAACCCGAAACTCCACTCGATCCACCACCTCCACCATCGTGCCTAACGCTGTTGTCGTTATTATGATGATGCAGATGACTATGATGGTGACACAGCGGAATCGCGCTATGCCGATTCGCACCTAACGTCCGATGCCTTTGACACGATACCCCACTACTCGCATCGTACTCAATATGCCTCGATCCCGAATACGGCGACGATACATTCAACGGTTCCCGCCCGTAGTACTGTCTCCGAGTGTGCCAATTTCTCCTTGAAGTTGACCTTCGGATCATCGGTTGACCTTCACCGTCGTCCGGCCCTCGGCTTTGACACAACCGCGCCTGGTTATTCAACATCCTCACTGTCAACCCGTACATTAACACCATAATAGCCAGTGGAATGAAAAATGAAAATATAGATCCGTATATTATAAAATTCTCATTATTCAACACACATTCCCCGCGGACTAAAACATTATCCTCCTTCACCACCCCGAGTACCGTAATCGGACTCGTTATCGCTAGCGATATCGTCCACACCAGCACAATTTTCAATAGCACTATCCGTTTGGATTTGTTTTTCGTCCACAGCGGGTATCGAATCCCGATGTATCGTTCCAGCGAGATGGTGCAGAGATGGTAGATGCTGGAGGTACACATCAGCACGTCTGACGTCACGAATAGATCACAGAGGAGTAAACCGAACAGCCAACGACCTGGGGAGGAGAGAATGAGGAAATGTTAAGTTTATGGAGGAAGAGGGAGATTTGATGATGTAAAGTGATGTCGTAAACGCAAAAAAAAAAAAAAAAAAAAAAAAAAAAAAAAAAAAAAAAAAACGAAGACAATCATTTTAGATGGTCAAAATGTCTTTCTTTATAGCGCATTAGCGAATTAGCTGAGACATGTAAAGCGGTTAGTTCTGAGTAAAGAGATGCATAAATCTGATGGAAACAAAATTGATAGCCGTACGCTCATGCGCATTATGTTTTCGTTAACAGCCAGGTAGTACACTGTTATAAACTAGGCCACCCGTTATCCTTTGGATAACTACGGGTTTAGGGGTCTTTGTTAAATGGCGTCACGTTTTTTTTTAACGTTTTTTATCTGCCCGCCCCATCCCAACTGTCACACATCGTCACATAATGCACGACCCGTTATGAATACATGTGGGCGTTACTTTCAATGAAAATACTTCTGGGTTCATGGACATTGTTTAAGAGAAAGTTCATGTGGGAGGGGGGGGGGCTTGACTTTCTGTAACGATGTATGAGGATGTTGTGGGAGGAAGGGGAGGGTAAAAAAGCATGACGTCGTTTTTGGTGAACCCTAAGTCATCACCATCCATATCTTAATTTCAGCAACAGCATTCATAGCATGTTACTACTGCACATTTAACAATACACCCAAACGCTAAAAATAGAAAAAGTTTAAGAGGACACACATTTAAAGTGTGTGAGGGTATATTTGTTTAGGGTGTTGCTAAAGTGTGTAGTGTGGTTTTTAAGTGTGGTTGTTGAGTCTGTGGGTAATATATGAGTGTTATTTTGTGTGCTTGTGTGTTTGTCTGTGTGTGTGTGTGCTTCATATAATTACTTTTGGAGGCTTAAAACACTACTGCAACTGCACTAAAATCTTCTAAATGTTCTGTGTGGGTATATGTTGTACACACTTATCGTGCAAGCCTACACCACCGATTCATCTAAAGTTACAACAACACCATATGCTATACCTCCATCTAACACACACCCTTTCGATAATATTATTCACAGACCAGAAGGGCGATAACTCCCACAAAGGGACATAAATCTGAAGACTTGTCGACCTTTGGATTACCCGCTTGACGTCACGAATGCATGAAAAACCGACACGTTTTAAGCCCAGTTCCGGCTCACAATCTCTAATTATCATGTATGTTAATTTACAGCACACAAAAACATATGGCTCTAATTCTCAGAGTTATTTTTCTTAATTTTGAAGCCGTAAGCGTTGAGCCGTAATTTCTTTCCGTGGTTATTTCTCTTTTGTAGATATTCGCATTTGGTAGAGATATGTCAAGCTTCAAAGCAATAGCCTGCAGTTACATAACACACATATAAAACGTATTTATGCTTACGTACATACATAAGCAACACGCATATATGTATATTTAAAGATAAATAACGCAAACCTTTCATTCTTTCCACCAGAGCTAACTCAGCCAAAATGAGGTCACAACATATGTCAACGCAAAATAAATAACCAAAAATGATTTAAAATGTGTATCGTTGTTGAATCCGTCTCTTTGAACCAAAGCGACTATTTTTGTAGTACAATGCATTTTCAATAGTAGCGAAATTGTGTTCTAGAAGTTTAATTAATAATGTAGAATTAGCATTTGAGACCTTCGGAAAGGGTGTAGTGGGGGGGGGGGGGGTTCTGATAAATCAGAAAGATAGTCTTAAAGGCAGACATTCGTAATGGTTTGATATGATTTTCAGTATGAAATACTTTTGGACACACAATACAACTGTTGATAGCTGGATTGTATTTATGACGTACTGTCAGATAGACTAAGTGAAGAAACAATTTCCACAACGAAATATATTTTGACGTGTCATATCGCCAATCAATTTACACGTCATGCCACTTACAGCAGACGTGAAATGTCACGCGTGACATGTATGCCACGCCAGTGTGACATATCGTGACAATATGCTGACACCACCAGTGGCGGAACTAGAAAAAACAGGCCCCCCCGCAGAATTTTTTTTGGGCCCCTATATATATATATATATATATATATATATATATATATATATATATATATATATATATATATATATATATATATATATATATATATATATATATATATATATATATATATATATATATATATATATATATATATATATATATATATATATATGGAAAACAAGGGTCGCTCTAAAGTTTTTAAAAAAAAATTCCATCTGGTACACGAATAAATCAGAGATTTTCCAACACACGAGCTGGCCCCTTTCAGTTTTCCAAGTGAGAAGCACGGACTCTCTAAATCTAGTCCAACACACCAAACTGAGGCTTTCATCAAAACGTTACCATCCGTGTGCCCTGTTTTCCAGAAGTTGAATTAAATGTGAACATGGTCGGCAGTTCATTTCTTGGATCTTAGGGCGCGGGTTTGTCCACACTACCAACTAGACACGCCAAGGCATGCTGTAAATCCCTCGGCGACGGCCCAGGTGTCCGGGGAGTCTCGGGGCTCTTGGAGCTACCGGTTACATTACTGCACGGGTGATGGGTGCAACACATTGTTTCTTCCGGCAGAGCTCTCCCCCCCCCCCCCTCCCCTTCCCCGAAAACAGTCTACCCTGGAAGAAACATTGGTGCGACACCTAATTAGATTTAGATCTAGATCTAGTCATCGAGTGTTGTAGCGAGATTATTCCTAGTGTTGTGGGAACTTTTAAATGACTGTCTGTGGGGGCCATAACTTGCTCATATGTGATGCCCTCAGGATGACACTGCCGCCGGTTGTATTCAAGTAGTAACCTCATCCGCTTATGCAGGATCTTCGGGCGTTAAATCACATATTTCCGTTAGGCGTCCCCACTCCAATATGTACAAATGTTAGGCCTATGACAGAAACCTTTGCGGGGCTGTACTCAACTGTAACAGCTTCCCAAGTTTTCATGGCGATTGGGTGAATGATGCAGTAATGCATAATAGAGAGAAAAATGTTTTTCACATGTACAACTGTATGTGGCCAGGTCACGCGTTGGATAACCTTCTGATTTAGGGGAGGGGGGGGGGACTAACAAAAAGCCAGACCCTCATACATACCCACCTCAATGACGTCATTTATAAATAGTAATTGACTATTAATAATGTTCAATTAATTCTAAACGTTCTAATTAATTTCTGAATAATTATATAAAAAATAATCTTACCTGCCCTGTTTTGTGAATTAGATGTGCCTAATACTATGAAAGTAAATTAATATCTGTTGACTAGATCTAGTGCTGTCTAGTGTCTGACAAAATGTGCTGAAGAGGTGAATCGTACGGTTAGGAAGTAGTTCATAAACGATACATTTATCTCCTCGATACTTGTGAGGTTGAGAAAGAGGGATGGGATAGGGGTCGGCTCGGGAAAAAAACTTGAAAGAGACAACAAAATGCCGCAAAGAAAAACCGCGCATCATGAAAGCCCATTTCATATGTAGCGGCTTTTCGTGCTATGGACTTTGTTGTTTTTTAAAAAGAATTTTGCCGGCGACAGCGTGTGTTTGATTGTAGGGAAATAGAACTCGGCCTTGACGATGGTTAAAAAATACAACTATAAATAACTGTTTTAAATATGTAAAAAAGTTTGTCGACAATTTTTGAACCCCCTTTTTGGTCCCCATCTCCTGCCCCATCCGCCACAGTACACTTTGGAGGATCGGTCAAACAGTTACGTGTCCTCTATTTAGCTATCAAGGGGAGAGGGGGGGGACCAGTCAAAGAAGTCATTCAAATTTGAAGAGTTGCCTATATTTTACACTGTAGTTTGTGTAAAGGATTTAATCTTTTGCGGAAGAGCGTGGTATAGTGACTGTAAAATAAAGATAATTGTACCGCAGCTACAGTGTTTTTCTTTTACAAACCAAATATTAAGGCAAAAATGCACGAAAATTAAATTCAAAATTTAAAAAAAATATTAATTTTGGTCAGCCGTGGGCCCCTAAACGGCCTGCCCTCCTCCCCCCCCCCCGCCACCCAGCGCATTGCGGGGTCTGTAGTTCCGCCCCTGTTCATCAGGTAAAGGAACAACTACTGACTAGTGTCTTTAACAAAATGTGCAGAAGTGGTCAGTTTACAGTTCAGTAGTTCGTAGACGGTTCGTTAATCTATGCATTACATCTTATTGTAAGAGTAAGGGTGTGGTGAGGGGTAGAGGTTGGGGGGGGGGATGAGAGGGGGGAGGGGAGACAGTTGGGAAGGTTCATTGGAAGGGGACAAGAAAGCGCCGATAAACATCTACATCAATAGTGCCGACTTTTTCCGGTCGTCTAGAAGACCAGGATAGTCGCCGCAACATTTCCCCAGCCCGATTTCAAAGCGTGCCGGCAGTCAAATTTCAGATGCTTCGCTGAAGGGAGATTACTTAAACTTTTACAAGTTTATTGATACAGTTGTTAAAGTAAAAATGAACGCAATTATAAATGTATGAGATTGAAATAAATAATTATATTTTTGTAGAATTCAGGCCAGTAGTTTAAACACACAATCATAGATATGTATTTTAATAATGTAAACAATATAACAATGCTTTTTTGTTCTAATCGACGCCACTAAAAAAGAACGGTAGGCTACGTCTTTGAAGTTGTCTATATGTCTGGCGGTCTCTCGAGCGATATAGTCTGTGCATTTTTCTCAAAGACGTTTACCGACTATCGTGTTTGTTTGTAACTGTAGAAGAAAGATAACTCGGCCTCCACCTTTTTTTTTTTTAATTTTTTAAAAATAATTTAGCCAGGATTTTTGGGCCCCCAATCGGTCTGGGCCCCCCCGCATTGCGGGGTCTGGCGGCACTGTAGTTCCGCCCCTGGACACCACTGCAAAAGTGCACGGCTAAAAAAAAAATGTTTTCGTTTCGCTATAGTGTCTCCGCCGTGATCGCTAGGTGATCGATCATCGACTATTGATTCATAATATGATCTGATTGATTGCTTAAACATACAGGCTCTCTA